GACTGAGCTCATCTAGGAGGACCAGCAGACAGCGGCGGGGGCAGAGGGCAGTGGATTTGTAATCCAGCCCAAATGGCAATGACCCAACGCATTTTCACGCAGCCATCACTTTGGTAAACACACAGGCAGTTCATTGATAGCATGTGTGACATTCCTCCATCCCATCTCAGGATCCCAGCCCACTTCAGTCTGTTCTCAGATCTTCATGCTTGTCCCCAGCTGTGAGAGCCCTGCCCCCCTTTGACTCCCCCTCCCCTCCATTTGCTCTCATAGCTGCAGTTCATCTTGCTTGTTCTCTTATGTCATCCTCCTGAGTCATTTCCATCTGTTTACCATCTTTTTTTTTGCTTCATCCTCTTCCGCCCTGTAGAATATACAAAAGACGAACACACATAAGACCTGTTTGTATTGTGCACCAGTTCACGAAACCCTGGAACGGACAACTAAAGCCACCATATGTTTGCCTGGACCACAGTTATCACTGACACGCTTTAAAATTTCAATATTTTTAAGGAGATAAATCCTGATTGTGTGAAGCACAGTTTCAATTTAGCTGGCATTAAAATGGATATCAGCGTCCCATCTCCAGAGACCACTTTATTTAGTCTTGGTTGACATACAAGTACAGTAAACCTGTACATACTTCCGCAATATATCACAACAACCATCTGGGAAGCTTATCAGCAAGATGGTCGTTCAAAAAGTAGTTGTTCTGCTATCCTTAGGAAAAAGGAAAAAGAAAGTAATACTTTTCAGTTATTTCAGTGTGAAAAATAACATAAATACATTTTTTGTTTTTTCCCCTTACTTACTTGTATTATATGTAATAGCTAAGTCAGGAAGAGCAAGAGAGTCCCTTTTTATTCTATTGAGTCTATTGGTGTCATTTCCATTCAGTCACGTGATGCCCCAAAATTGTCTCATTAACATCATAAAGGAGATTATTAAATCATGTAAAATGATGCAAAAAATGTTTACATTCTTTGAAAATGGATTACTTCCAGCGGAAATGGCACATACGTTCAGTGTCTGCAAAGTAAATTCCACTTACAAACTGTGGTTTGGACCAATCTTTACACTGTAAATACAGAATACGGTTTTTATGTGTAGATGTTTGTCAGACTTTTCATTTAAAACTAACAGCTCTCTCAGTTGTGTATTTGGACACTACATATATGAGCAAATACAAACACCAAGGCATCAACAGACTGTAGAGCTTTTGAAGATGATCCAGCTGTGATCCAGCTGTGGCGCCGTCATTAGAAGCTGATGCCTGAAAGAAGAGGACGTCTCATTCATTCATTTGTTTCTTCGATATATCTTTTCTCACTACTTCTTCTTGCATCTGTCCTTGTGTCTTCACTGGGAGGGACTAAGACGTGAGCAAAATGCAAGCAAGGGAATTGTGGTTGAAGTTAAAGGAATTGAGATGCACCCGTTGTCTGTGCTTGCTTCCCCAACCACCAGTGTGGTCGGTGCTGCCTGGAATCTCAGCGTTTGAGTTTTATTTATTTAAGTGAATCAGACAAAAGACATAAAACTGGAATGGAATGGAAAATAGTGTGCTGGGTGAGAAAAAAAATGGCCCCAAGGAGTTTTTTCATTACCTCTGCATATAATATAAAACAATATTCACAATATTAAATGTATATGCAGTTATGTTTATAGGTGCTGTATATTTTTAGAAGTTTTGTCTAGTTAAATGATTGGATGACCTGAGACTGACTGCAATGGCGGCTCTGAACACAGCCTTCTGCCATCTGCTTGCACTTCCTTTGCTTCTCTCTAACCATTACAGCTAGCTGAGCTGGTGGTACAATACCCCTCAGCGTTGCCCACCCTCACCTTCAGCTAGCTAACCTCCTGACCCACTTCTTCTGCTTGCTGATGTGTTTCTGTCAGCAGCTAACATCCATCATGGACAACACCTCTCACCCCCTACATGACACTGTGGGGTCCCTGAGTAGCTCCTTCAGCAGCAGACTGTTACACCCACGGTGTAAGAAGGAGAGGTTCCGAAGGTCTTTCATCCCTGCCGCTGTCAGACTCTACAACACCTGATCAATGTTGTAGTTTCTGTTTTTCAAATTACCACCATACCATAGCTTTACCACTTAACCATAGTTTTTTTATATCTGTATTTATTTATTTCACGTAATTGCTGCTGTGACAAGGGAATTTCCCCGTTGTGGGATTAATAAAGTAATACAAACAAATACAAAGCATCTTGTGGTTGAGTCGGAGGCGCGTGTGTGAACTCCTCCCACAGCCGTTATTGGAAGTTAACAGCATGCCAAGCTAAAGCATGTCAGCATCTAAATAAACAATAAACAATGGACAGACGCACCACAAGTAGCTGCCTGCTGTGGCTGGTGTTGATATCTCTAAACAAACAAACAAACAAATAAACACGTACGCACACAAGAAAGAAAAGAAGAAGAATATGGAGCAAAGAGGAAAGCCTGGTTGCTTTTTTTTATGAATAATTCAAATCCTTGGAACGTTTGAGAGAGAAAAAGATGCCCCTCTACACACACATCAACAAACCCACCCACACTTACACGTATACACACACACGCACACACACCGATCACAGCGGTACAGAGAAGAGGGTAAGTGGGGAGTGTGTGAATGTGTGCAGCAATGTGTCAGGTTGAATTCATGGTATTTAGGTTGAGCTCCGTTTCAAGATTCCCTTCACCGCTGGAGTTGGAGGCTAGCTTTAAATGTAAATACAGTCATCCTGTTTATCCTGCTTCATCCCCATCATCCAGCCCTATTCGATCCTATCCTCCCCGTCCTATTCTATATCTATCCTATATTCTGACCTAAGTAGCTGCACGAGGGAGCTGACAGACACCACACGTTGTAAAAATAATGTTAAAAAGTCATGTCAGAGGGATGAGGTGGATGGGTTGATTTAGTGAGTCTGGCAACCAGGCATCAGCCTTTGGTGGAAATTGGAAACTACAGTATATATGGTTGCCATATATTTGAGTAATTAAAATAGTGTGCAGTATGTTATACGTCACAACAATGAAAATGTAAGATAAAAGAATGTTTAACATTTTTATTACTGTGTTTTATCTGATACTTTACATAATGTGAATCTCCACCCTCAATTCCTGGTATACAATATACCAGTAGCGCAGCTGTTGTCATGTATTTGACGGATCCCAGCAATATTAAAATATCACTAATGCAACAACTATTAGAAATATATTTATTTTGGGTTGCATGTTTTGCTGTTTGCTGTCCTTATTTTTTATATGTTAAAAAGTGGTTGCCAGTTTCTCAATATGGTTTCCGAGGGCAACCTGGCAACCTTTACTGTCAAGACCTGGATGGCAGTGGTGACAAAAAAGAAATGAAAGGGGAGAATAAAAAGACCTTTTCCCAGATGTAGAAGAGAGACACAGGAAAAAAACATGAGCTCATGATACAGAAACATTAGTTCAATCACAGCCTGGTGATAAATATTCAAACACTCAACTATCCATGAGTGAATTCCAATTATAGCTTGGGATTGCCTGTTGCTCTCTTTAAATGTCAACTGGTAAAATGTTTGTTTTGCTTTCATGAATAAATGGTTTTGGAAGAAGTAATGTTTCATGAAAGCAGCACATAAGGACAAACACTTCAAGAGATTTGTATTCAACTAATGCTTTAGCCACATGGCCTTTAGTTTCCCCATGCCCTCTATTGCCATATACCCACAATATGACAAGGTCCTATGAATAACAATCAGAAAGTGGAGTGTAATTCTTTCTTTTCAGTACTGTTACTATGGCTAAAATTTCAATTCAGTTCAATTTTATTTGTATAGCACCAATTCATAACAGAAGTTATCTCAGGACACTTTTCAAATAGAGCAGGTCTAGACCGAACTCGTTATATTGTATTATAAAGTCCCAGATGACACCTTTTCTTTAACCTACCTGAGAATTAGCCTGCCCTTTGTAATAATCAGTGTTCTAAGTGATGTGGTGATGTCTACTTTTTTGTGTAGTGTAGTTTTGTAAGGGATTAATTAATAATAAATTCAATAATTACATGTAAGTTACTAATCCCAGTAATGTCCGTTTGTTACCAAGCGAAAACAGATTGTATAGCTCCTACAAAATGATCTGAATCAATTGTGTTAGTGTTGATGTAGGACTGATGCATTTACAGCCATCAGAGGCTAATGTGAATGGTTTTTCACACTACACACTGCTCATAATTACAGATTTTTTTAATCTTATGTATAGGCCAGGACATCTCTTCAGAACTACAGTACTTCATTATAATGGCATTTTGTCACAAATTTTTCTCCTGTTTTTTTATTGCAACTTCTGCGATTTGCATATTGCAGCTGACTATATTGCGTTTTCGATAATATTTCAATTAATTGTTAGAGCTGTACTCAGCAGTTAGTTGTTGTGTCAAACTCCACTTACCAAGAGCTTCCACTGAATTCCCCAGTGACTCAGCTTTGTTGCTTGAGTGTGTGTGTGTGTGTGTGTGTGTGTGTGTGTGTGTACATGTGTGTGCTGTTCTGAGGAGACTTGAATTAGTGTGGGTTTGAATATGCTCGACCCCATTTAGCTGTGGCTGGGGTGGGCAGTTTTTCCTCCCTCTGGAAGGTTGGCTTGAAGGAGAAATGGATGATAGGGGGGCACTGAACAAGATGTTCTTTGATATCCTCCAGACGTGTTGCATCACTGCTATTGGCCTGGGAACACTGACCTGGATATTTAGGTGCAGCAAGTTTATGCAAAGACCTTCCGAGCCTGCATGAGTGTGTGTTTTGGTTTTTGTGCATCTACTCTCTATCCCCTCCATCAAGTAGCAACTTTCCAGGACCTAATTAGGGCCAGGGAGGGCCACTATTGACTGTGAACACAACAGACCCCGCTTGCTAATGAGACCTCAGAAAATAAAGATCCCTGACACAAAAGGAGCTGGGTTTTTTTCTGAAATCTTTTAATTAATTCCCATTTTTCTCTGTCTCTTTTCAGCCCCGAAGACCTGCAGCCCAAAGCAGTTTGTATGTAAAGACGGGGTGACGTGCATCTCTAAGGGCTGGCGCTGCGATCGGGAGAAAGACTGTCCAGACGGCTCTGACGAGGAGCCTGATGTTTGTAAGTCTTTTAAAAATACTGGTTCCAATTTATTGTATCGGTACACTGTGGGTTGCCTTCTTTTGTCCCCTGATTGTTATGATCCTGCTGCATCTGAGTTTCACAGCAGAGTGAACTTTGGCTGACATCCAGGGTAGATAATTGGTGCCTACAGTAGAGAGGAAATGCTTTTCAGCTTATGCATATATATATATATGTGTGTGTGTGTAAAGCACCCGTAGTCAAATGGGTTTAGGACACTTCTTTTTCACATTATGTAGTAAGTTGTTTTCCCCATTCGAGACTCTGAATTGTGTGAAATAAAAACTCTCTCTGCTTATCTCCTCTGATATGATTGAGGGAGTGTTTTTGACTTGAACACTATTCAACAGGTGCAAGACAACAGTCTCCAAGTGTAAAACAGCCCCAGAAATGGATCTAAAACCTGCTGCGCTGGCTTTTATAAGAATTTTTTTTGTAATATCAAAGCTATGCTAATATGTTACTGTAGCCTTTGATCCCTCTTAACGCATTCTAAGAGCAGTTGTCGGCTAACAAACTGAGAGTGTTGGCCTATTAGATTTGTTTGGCTAACCACAGCCACACTGCAGAAAACAATGGGATGTTTTTATCAGTAAGTGACAGAGGTCATTCTGCCTTTAAACAGCTCTGTCATGCCCAATTACAAGATTTACAAAGTTTGTCTTTCTTTGATAGATGTGATTTCCTTTTGCATTCAGAGCCACAGAGGATGCAGTCATGAGACAAAACCAAATCAGAAATAGTACAAAAAAAAAAAAAAAAGACAGCTGTCGTTTCAAAGTCTCCATTAGAGTTGCGATGCCTTGAGGCTGAATCCCTGGGGAGGGAATGAAAGCAGCAGTGTCTTTTTGGTCAGCCTCTCAGACCGAAACGCCTGTAGTTTTCTAAGAGGATGGGTGGGTGGGGGCTTTGTGTGTGTGTGTGTTTGGGTATTTGTGTGTACATGTTGCTTTTTTGAGGGGGATTAGCCTAGGAGAGAGTGAGTGTAGAGTGCCGTAGCTGCAGTCTAGACGCAGAGACTGTATGAGAGTAGGTCTGGAAGTCATTAGAGACTCGCCCAGAGCAATGGAGAAACCTGCTGTTTTTCACAACCTGCTCTTTGCCCAACCCCGCCCCCATCTGTGAGCCAGCCCTCTTCTTCTGAGTCTCTATCTGGGACAGAAACAACAGTGAGTTTATGCCAAACTTTCTCAAAAACAACAGTTATTGGACCTATGCTCTGGAGGGACCTGACGTTTCTCAGGGTCAGGGTGGAAAACTTAGGAAGTGAGTCAGGGAGACAAAAGAAAAGCCAACAATACAATTTTGGTGTTTTCATGAAGTGAAGATTGTTTTTGGTGACTGTTGCCAACTACAAATACATTACAAAGGTTATTTGCTACTTTAGAGTATGAGCAAGTACATAAGTCAGTACAGAAGGTTAAATGGTATGTCAGGACACTTTTAATTGGGGTTTCTTTTGGACGTATTTAAAATGAACGGATAAGTTTGATGATATCCTGTAGTTTTCTTTTTATCAACAAACCTCATGAAAAGGACAAAACCATTATTGAATTCATCCTGTTAACAGGTTTTGCCCCAGTACGCAAAGCCTGATATAATATATTCCTCTGAGCCTTGTTCAAAAACACATCAGTGAGCCACACTGTTACACTGTGGGCAACATGTTCCTTTCATTACGATGAACATGGGCACAATTTTAGTCAGTCACCTTACTGCTGCTGTAAATAGTTGATAGTGCACCAACTCTGTGGCTGAAGTAGATATAAGATTTACTTTTTCTGATTTTTGGGCTGAAAGCCACAGGCAGGATAGGGAAATCTGCATCTCTTTTGGCCCACATGCTAGGGGCAATACATGTAACCGCAACATCCATTGTTCAATTCAGACCTTTGCTGCATTCTTCTCCCTCTCTCCACATGTTTCCTGTATGCTGCACTTATGTATGTTACTGTCTTATTATAAAAAAAAATAATAATTGGAAAAAAGAAAAAAAAGAATAACACTATGTTTGTTGCAGAGCAGATGTTGTGTGTCCAAGTTGTGGAGTTGTGGAGAATGAATCTCAATCCAGTTAAATATGGTTAATTAGCATCTTTGTATCATTATACGATATACACAAGAATACAAATCACACAAATACTATATTATTCTGAGCTGGAGAAGTTGTCTTGGGACTGAACATAAAGATGTATCCCTGTGTGTCCACCATTTTTAGTTTCATTGTTGTGATAAATTTGCTCTTTGTGAAGGTGCCTTTGCAGATGCTTCTGGTTAAAAGATGCATAAGAGAGGTTTATTTATTCACTCATGTGGATAGGGCTTCACAGTGGTCTTTGTCAGTGTGTTGGCTATTGCCAGGGAAGTCAGCCACTGTCCAGTGCAGCTGCTTTGCCCTGCTGTGTAACCCCCACAATGCTGTTCTTTGTACCACAGGGTGCTGGGTCAGACTGGCATAAAGGGATACTGAAAGAGTAAAACAAAAACAAAATGGTTGTCTGGGCATATGACCTTTTTATATAGAGCTTTGAACTGCATTCCTAATCAATGAACAATTGAAATGAAGATAAATGTGAAGATTTGCCTTAAGGTAGGGTGTAGACCGTTATAGAGCGGCCATCTCCTCAGGCTGTAGACTTTTATTGGGGTCCTGAAATATTACCATGTGCAGTGAGTGTGCCCTGGAAACACAGGAAGTGTGTAACGCTGAAATGATGTCCCCTGCCCCTGGCCTGTAATAAGGGCAGTTTTACAGACAGTTCCCACCTAGGCTACAATTAACTTTTTAGGAGATGAAGCACTTCTGTAACACCCACTTTCAGAGTGGAAAACATCATACTGCATGATGTAATGTCCGTCTCACTGACTCCTATCAAAAGAAATAAAAGACTGCCTTGAAAAGAAATTAAATCGGGCGAGGTTTAATCTTTGATCTAGAAGTTAGACGCACAGCAGATGTAATGGGACATAAGGGGGTTTATTGTTTGGTGTATATTTGATCAATGGTGTCATTTACCAGACAGCTGACCCAAAGCCAGTCGTCATACTGTTCAGATATGGAAGAGGAAGTGATCCGTTTGATCTCGCTACTGTCTCCTAAAAGCAGCCACCACCCAGTCCAGATAGCCATCAACATGTCAAGAAAAACAACCTTTGTTCAACATGAAAGAGTCTGTCGCCTTGCAGCACCTTGTTCATACAAGAACCTGCTACAGGTGTGAGAGCATGTGCACACAGTGAGCTCTACCTTCTCTCTTTCACACACACACACACACACACACACACACACACACACACACACACACACACACTAATACTTATGCAAGCATTACACCACACAGCAGCAGAGGAGAAGGTTTTCGGCAAAAGTGCTCTTGCCTCTGAATTTTAAATCAGCTCATACTTCATTAGCTAATGTGCCCTAATACCATGAAAATGCCATATATTTTTGGCAGTGAATATTTTTACGCAAGACCTTAATTAGTGACACTATAGGACATCCTGGCGCCTAAAAACAATTCCAGGGTTGTGTTGTAGAGTAATTAATACTTCATGCAATACTTACTTAATTCAAAAACCTTAAACCTGCATTAACATATTATCACCTTATAAAGTTGGTATTGTTACCTTGTTACCCTACCCAGATCAAATGAATTAATTTGGCCAACTGATGAATGTAACACTAATATACATTGTCTTTGCATCTCTGTTTAGGTCTTCCTCGTGTCCTGAGTGAAATATTAATTAATTATATTATTAAATTAAATGCTCCACTGTGAGCTAGTTAGCTAGCAACGTTAGCTAGGTGCAAACTTCACATCAGGCTTTTTTTTTTTGAAAGTGTGCAGTTGGTTTATCAAAAGTTTTTCATTAAAAACAGCTGCCTGCTGCGGCTGGAAACAATGCCAACGAAAGCATTCAGACCGAAACGAAATAGAAAAGTTGTGGGCGGTAAACTTAAACAATGACTGGAAAGATGTTAAAATGTTCCATAGTCATTTTTTCCATTGTTTTACTTTTGCTTACTGTATTGTTGATTTGACACAATTGGTGAGCGATGTTCCAAGATGAATCATTTGTGTACCCACGTGTTTAAAATGAAATACGCATACTTCATCCGAAGAATCCAAAGCACCCCTCAATTTCATATTTCAAATATTTATAAGGTCTGTCATATGACTTCTACTGCAGGAGCACTCAAACTTTCATTTGAGCCCATATTTTCAGCAGTCCCAAACTCATGCATGTCAAAGATTTATAAGGGTTCCAAAACGAGTTGCTAAAGACAGAACTTGTGCAACAGTAACAGTAAAGATGTATATATAAATATATGTATGTGTGTGCTCTATTTAAGGGTGTGGTGAGCCGGATGTGATCCACAGGCCACCAGCTGGCCATTTTTAGATGAGGCTGGGGCAGTAGAGAGGGCAAAGCTGGCCCCTTGAAGCAGGACAAGAGAGCCCGGCCTGTGTTGAGCCAAGAAAAGCGTGTCAGGGATTTACATTTTAAAAAGACCATTATGTAATCTCAGCAGGGCTCTTCCCAGAAGGGGTTGGGGCAGGCCAGGCACCCTCATGGGGTGGGGTGGGGGGGACTAGGAACATTCGGGGGACAAGGAGAGAAACAGAGTGGCGTTTATGATGCGGCAGGACAGGAACAACGATAATATGATCATTTGGGTAATTGAGCCGCCCACCCTGCATCTTGAATGTATCAACACAGATGCCGAACACCTGGCCATGCCTCGCGGCTGGTCTTTCTCTCTGTACAACCACCTTGTGTCTGATTAGTTGCAGTAATAAATGACTACATCCTGTATGCAAGAGTGCATTATTGAACACACAGCTTGTCTTCTGCAGTGGTTGTTTAACTTCGGTCTCCTCCTTCTTGGCTCTTACGATGACGATTACTCTCATCCTCCTCTCCGACCCCCTTGGGCCTTTCCTGTCATTTGCATAGCTGTTCTTCTATGCGATAAT